AAAAAAAAGTGAGAACACTTGCTCTGTTGAAACCGCTCAAACGTGCTACCCAGTACATTTTATTCATATGGAATTGCTCTATTTAAAGTCGAACAAACATTCGCGATATCAATAAGTCAAAGACAGACAAGTTTTTTTTTGGGTTTTTGCAAATTTTTGATACAAATCTTGCGACTCACCTGGGAAACTGATTGGATGCATGCTCATAGCCAGTTGATGTTGATGTGTATGTAATCCATTCTAGTAGATCGATTGATCTGAAGGCAAACTTTAATCACCACACACGAACAAAGGCAATTGAATAGTCACACTCCAAAAATGTCAGAAAAAAACGCCAACTTTGAATTGGAATTTTTCACTTAAGAAACCCTGTTCGGGTTGAAAAAATCAGGTCAATCGCGAGATTGCACACTTGTTCTTCGGAAAATCAACGCTTTTCTATCGGAGCGCAAAATTTTCCCCGATTTTCAAGGATTTTTACCGTGCGCGATCTTCCTATGACTTACCCGAAATATATTTAACATCGAACTGAGCAAACAGGGAAAGATTAGGTAACTATAGTACCACCGGCAAATGCATTGATATTTTGCAAAAACTCACTTAACAAGCTCAATGAAACAAATTTAGACTAATTTTTATGCATTTTGGATGCTAAAATCCTACATGTTAAGACGCATTTCTTAACAAAAACATCATCAAGCCTGCCAACTATTAAAAAAAAAACCATCTTTTGTCATGTGAAGACAACATACAAAACAATCGTGTTTTTTTCTTATACAGGGTGATCCAAATTTAAGTATCATAACATCAAGAGCGTGTTGGGAGCTCCAAAATAGAATAAAAACGTTGAGCCAACGTTGCCCTCAACTGCCATGTTTTTAACGTACAGAATATTAATTTAATAAAAGTATACAAAAAATATTTTACTGTGCAGAGTGATCCAAATTTAAGTGGCATAACATAACAGCGCGCTGGGCGTTCAGAAACAAGCCTTACAGGGTGTTAATAATTCTTTTGGTTTTGGCAATATTTATAGCGACTTTATGACCATTAATCGACGTTTTTTTTGTGCCATTCGCGAGTATCTTAGAGGAAAGCTGTATTCTGTTGTTCCTATATTTTTTACTTTCCTTTTAAATTGCAATTTGATGATGATGAAATGTTAATTCTGAAAGCCCATTGTGATCTGCACAACAAAGATCCTGGTAGATAGAAGATCTGATACCAGTTGTTTAAGAGCAAATTGGCATTTTATCATGGAAAATATGATTAAACAATTCGGTGATTTTTTTTATGGTCGGCAAAGCGACTTTTACCCGGGCGTTGTTATGAATTCATATCAATTTGATAAAAACGATTTTGAACGTAGCAACCTCATGTTTTTGATGATAAAATGCCTATTTTCTCTCAAACGAAAACAGTAGAGATTTTGACGAAAGGCATCTTTTTTATGTAGAAAATAACAACTTTTAAAAATGTGCTTTTAAATTGCAATTCTTCTCAGTGGTGTAGAAGTTATGGCTAAATTTATTAATCTATTTATTTTATTTATTTAAAAAAAAAGCCGTGACTTAACGCTCATAAAGTACCATAAGTAGATAATGCTAAATTATATTAATTAAATAAATTTAAATTTATTTATTAATTCCTTCCAAAAAAAATTGTGATAAAACGCAAAGAGAATGAAAAATAAATCGGAGATGAATAAGATCGAAGTCTGATTTTTTTGATAAAAGGCTCGCTACTTTTATGATATTACTCTTTGCCGATTAACTGCGTATTTACATGATTGGTGGAACCTTCCGCTCGCGCGTTTTTGGTTGACCCGCTAGAGTCCTCAGAAGTTCGATGTTTTCAGCTGGAAATTGTGCACATTTAGTAAGTGCACGACCCTTATTTATCGTTGTTTCGGCATATTTAGCCTGTAGGTCACAGTATTTGGTGCATTAATGGTTGGATATTGATGTTTTGATTTCACGGATTATTTAAATAAAAATTTAAAAAAAAGTTAAATTAAAAAAAGTCGGGAATTTTAATCGTTCCGTCGATTTTAAAAGATTGTGCACCTCCAACGTACTAAACCGCGTGTCGCAACTAATTAATTATCGCCTAATTCCATAAGGTTTAGATCACCCTGCATATACAGAGTGAGTCTCTTTGGATAGAGGGCCTTATTTTCGCCCACAAAAACTACAGAAACTGGTGTGGAAGTGCAAAGCGTTTCTCTATAAATAAGAGACTAATCGGATGGCAAAGTCCTGCTTGTACAAACTGGCTTGAGTCAAACAGTTACATGCCAAAGGAAGAAGCTGATTTTATGGTTTTTGAAACAATTTTAATGGTAAATCAGGACGCTTCTACATAGAGCTTAAGTTCACTGACCCAACGTTACAAATCTAATTGCCTGAGCCAACATGATTTCCATCTGTATCTGTTTCATAAAAATATGACCGTTTTAATAATATTTGCCCAACCTTTTCACATAATTAAACGGGCTGCTGGTTTTTCACTGTGTTTGATCGTTTCGCTTTACAACTCTTCTATCGTAATAATTTAGTAATATCCACTTACGTCTAACTACTTATTAATTAATATGCTTGGTTTTATTTTTCTGTTTTATTTACTATTATTTAGTTTAATACTCAAGTTCTTTGGCTAAATTGAAGGCTTTATGAATAAAGAAGTAAGAGCGAAAGTACAAAATATGTTCGGCATTTTTTCAAGAGTTCATTAATTAGAGTTGGTTTTCGGATATTGGTAAATTTGGGTAAAAAATTATATCACATTTTTCCTGAATATTCGAAATTTTATAAGGCTCTTCAATTAAGTTAGAGAAAAATTAGTTCTTAAAAATATTTGCTTGACGCGCTATTTTAAATTGGGAATATAAAAAACTCAATTGAGCGTCCCATCAATTCCCGTCCACTTCAGGCAAATTACACGCTTAAAAATAATAAGGCATGCTTATAGTGCACTAAATAATTAATATTTGCAGCTAAACCCGAACAATTTCGAATTATTTCTCTGTCTGTTCATTTGCGCTCGATACAAAATTCTGTTCACACATGTATAATTAATTCGGTATAGTCATTTTTAATTTTTGTCTGCAGGATTGTGATCATGATGAAACTGCTGAAATAATCCGCAGTTATGGGCCCCAAGTGACGCTGATGCAGCAGCCCGACCAATCGGACATTCAAGTTCCGCCCAAAGAGAAGAAGTTCAAGGGCTACTTCAAAATTGCTCGTCATTATGGCTGGGCACTGAACCAAATGTTTTTTAATTTTAATTTCAGCACTGTGATTATAGTAGAAGGTTAGTGAGATTTCCGTTGTGCTTTTTTATAATGGCGTTTTACCGTTTCAGTTTTCGCAGAATTTTTTTTTCAGTTCCAGTCTGTTTTTAGTCAAGTCTTTAGTTGATCATAAGTTATTATGTCGGCGTCTTGGGAAGAAACATTCTATGTATTTTCGTATTTTCTGTACTTGCAGATGATTTAGAAATCGCTCCGGATTTCTTCGAGTACTTCCTAGGAACTCATCCACTCCTCCAGAAAGATCCAACCTTGTGGTGCGTTTCCGCATGGAACGATAACGGGAAAGAAGGACTGGTAGACACTGAAAGGCCGGAGTTACTATATCGAACGGATTTCTTTCCTGGATTGGGATGGATGCTGACCAGGAATTTATGGCTGGAACTTTACACAAAGTGGCCCAGATCGTAAGCAGTCGGACCTGATTTTTCCAGACAATTTCTTGATTAATTCTCTTAGATACTGGGACGATTGGATTCGCGAGCCAGCTCAAAGAAGAGGACGGTCTTGCATCAGGCCGGAGATTTCGAGAACAAAGACTTTCGGTAAAATTGGAGTGTCCAATGGCATGTACTTCGAGAAACACTTGAAATTCATCAAGTTGAACGATAAATTTGTGCCTTTTTCCAAAATGAACCTTAGTTACCTTCTGAAGGAGAACTATGATAAAGACTTTGTGGGGTCAGTGTATAAGTGCCCGACTGTGAAATATGACGATCTTCGGGACAATCACATCAGCTTTGACGGCCCTGTGCGAATTACCTACAGGAAACTAAACGAATATAAATTAATCAGCAAGAAATTGGGTCTTATGGATGACTTCAGGGTAGGTGGTTGAACAATGCTGTCCTAAATTTAAATATTTATTTTTGGCAAAATAGTTAAGCTGGAGTGGCAAATTGATGAGTTTTTCCGCCTAAAAGATCCAAAAACTGCAAAACCCTAAATTTTTGATGAATGTATTATTGAGACTAATGACTTGTTCAACCTTTCAGGCCGCCGAGGAAAATAACTTCTTCCTGGCCTTTCGCTAGCATGAGTGGCTTGCATCTTCAGAGATGGTTTGCGTGCTTGTGAAACGTTCGGCATAAATTATTTTCCACGACGGCTTCAAAGGGCGAAAAATTCAGCAGTTTAGTTTTTTTTTGCTTCAGGGAGGAGTTCCAAGAATGGCATATAAAGGCATTGTGACCTTTTACTATCAGGCCAGGACGGTGCATTTGGCACCGAGCGCAAATTGGGAAGGCTATCAACTGAGTTGGAGTTAACACTTGGTAAAACTTTAATTTAATTTGAGAAAACTAGGCATTTTTTTCCGTTAAAAGTATTTAGTAAATATGAAAATTTCGCGATTTTCCTTGGTGTTATGTTTTAGTTTGTTAATGGTTGTTTATTATGATTCAGTTCAATTCTTTGGATCACTCAATGATCTATTTGTTACTGACTGAGAAGGGTTGTATGAATTTAGAGATTGTTTATTTATATTTTAGAATATTTTTGGAATGTAGGAACAACCAATCAGGCGCATATCTATCAATTTGCAGTATTGTTTGGCGTGTCTAAAGAATTCTTCTTTCTTGCCAAAAACAATTTTTCTAATCACAATCGAGCGGGATATTTAACATCCAAGACTGGTCTTGGCAGCATTCAAATATTCACAATAAAATGTAAAATATCGTACCTGTTTCTGATGTTTGCACACTGATTTACCGTGGCTTACCTGGCAGGTGTTTTCGAAAGAAACAATGCATTTTGTAAATATTGTAATATTAAATTCTATAGATAATTTATTCTAAATATATAATATTTATTGTTTTACCAACGTTTTTTTTAATTTAATCCCCATTTTCGTTTTTGTCAATATTAGGCTTGATTTTATTTAATCCTCCTGGAACATAGTTGAAAAAGAATGAAATGAAACCAGTATACAGGGTGAGTCAGTGCTAGAGAGAAAACTGCTAGAAATCCTGCTAGAGGACGCAAGTTAAAATATCGCAGTCCTAACTACAATCAATGATATTGGACCCAATAGGGGCCAATGATTTTGCTTTTCTAAAGTGTTACTCTTTCCTAAGGAGCAGGACACATATTTAAGATGGAGGACAGTAAATCCAGAGTTTGTAAACAGAAGTCGCATATTCAACGCAAAAATACGTTTTAATTTAGATCCTTTTTAATCAACCCAAGAATTTCCGTAAACTTCTTCATGCGTAAAATTTCGTAAAAAAACAGCTGGTCAACGTTATTTACAAAAAAAAAACCATAAATCAATATTAATCCAAATTAACAAAAGCTAAAACAATTAATTGAAAGTAACTAAAATTTACCTAGATAATTGCAAAATGTGCCTAAGAAAAAAGTAAGTGCAAATCAAATATAGATTTTTTAAAAATCGGTTAACCAGTCCTTACCGAAACTAATAAAATCCAGCAAAAAGTGATCAAAAACCGCAGTTCTTCAAAAAGCACCATTAGGAAAAGTTGTTAGAAAAAGAGGTATCTTTGGAACTAGAAAAGACCTTCACCCTTTACATCTTTCATGGTATTAATTTATAAAACATGACAACAAGGGACATTTAGCATGTTTTTAGGTTATGAGGACATTTTGACCTTAACCATCCATTTCGTTCTTCTACTCGTCTTTATCTATGATTTAGTTGTCTTCATCTGTGTTAACCATTTCACGTTTGTTCTGATTTCCAGCCGGGGTTAAATGGAAGTTAAAAATTTCACTATTTTGAGTTGAACACATTTGAAAAAATGCAGCAAAGAGAAGAGAAACAATTAGAGTCCTCTCTAGAGTCGATAATCCAAAGAGTGAACGATCTGAAAGCGTCTTTAGCCGCTATGATTTTCAAAATCGAAACTGAATATGAAACTCTGAATTGGCCAAAGTTTCTGGACAACTATGCTTTGATATCAGGGCAGGTAAGCTCAATTAAAACCTCAACGCCACACTTTGTGACTCTGCGTTTATAGCTTATTTCCCTGTCGAAAGTTCTCAGCCATGAAAAGGGCCCCAATTTGCGAAACTTAACAGTTCTGCCGCTTCTGCTCTCTCCCGAGAGAGATGAGCAACTGGTACAGGCGACTGAAGGCCGAATAACAACTTTTTCCCATGATTTGGTGCCCCCTTATCTGAGAACCAAACTTGAGCCTATGGCTGAACAGAAGATGATTCAGCTGGAGCTGAAAGCTCAGCATTTGCAAGTCGAAAATGCACAAGTAATGTGGCGAATGCAGCTCAAACTAGCCGAGATTTTAACCTGTGTGACTATTTCAGAAGCAAATGGCAGCTTATCAGAAGGTAGTCTCACACGTGTGGGACATTGTAAGCAAAGCCAGGGAAGAATGGGAAGTAGAGGCCTCATCCAGGGCAGGCACGCAGCAAAATTCCAATCAGGCAGACACACATCTCTTAGTTGCAGCAGTTGGGATGGGGAAAGGCTTGAAGGTTTGTACTTTTTTCCAGAATTTTCCAAATTTCTAAACTATTGTAATGTAGATGGGCTCCAATCCGAATGGCCAGCCAAATTCCACCTCTGGAGGGATGATGGTAGCTTCACAAGGAAGGCCCGGGGGGCCGCCTGGGCCGGGTCAACTTCCACCGAGTACGCAAGCCATGAGTATGAACAAAGCCCCATCAGCCATCAAGACCAATATTAAAAGCGCTGCTCAAATGCATCCTTATGGACGTTGATTTATTTATATTGTATATAATGATATATTTTATTTCCTTATTAGTTTATTACTTAATCAGTATTAGGTTAGCAAATGTATGAATCTGTTGTCATAAATTCGTGAATATAAAAAATCCAGTACGTACACAGACGTCTTTTTCTGGGTTGTTTAGAGGAGTTAGTTGTGTTTTAAAGCCCATAAAAACCGTATAGATTTTAGTATTAAAATTAAAAACCGTACTAGGATTTCTAAGTAACTTTAAAAATTAATTTGAATAACGCGCCAAGAATCACCAGAAATTCACGATCCCAACACGTGATTATGTCCTTTTCTTTACTTTGCTTCAAGAAGAAAAGAGACGCACATGGTTGGAGTAGGGCGGCTCTATAAAATTGCGCAAAAGCTCGATTTCAGAACCGACCATATCAATCAGTTCGCGTGGGTAGCCATTTTGATATATGTTTGGGTTGTTTATTGTACATTATTCTGAAATTTTTAGGCTAAATTATTAGTGCCGATAAGTATTACGCCTAGAAGTGGTTCGTTTTTCAGGTAAGTACCTGTAGCTTCTTTGTTGCCAGTTGTTTTAGCCGATAATCACCGATACTGCCAGAAAAATTAGACTAAATTCGAGCTACCGCTCGCTGATGTTTGTAAACATTTTTAACTGGCATTTTTTTGCAATCGTCCATGCAAAATCGGACAAACCCGTCCTTAGGACATCAACAAACCTCGAATTAGGATTATTGTCGGATTATTTAATGTTCTTGGCCCAGGCGATGGGACTTTTGGAAGTTAAATCGTTATTCAGTTCCATGATTTGATTTTTCAAAACTTAACGCCTTAGGACAGCATTTAACTTTAATAGAAAATTACTTGCGCTCTATCTCTATTAGTTAACTGCTTGAAATCAATAATTTATTGCTCTGTGCGATTTTTGATAGCACTTCTACCGAAATCGGTTGCTGCTTAGATACAGGGTTAAGTCAAAACTTTGCATCTAAACTTAGTTTTATATGAAAATCATATCATTCCTCATGCATGTAATATGCTTGATATTGCATTTGTATGAAAACCCCATTAGATTACGTATCATAGTAGTCAAGTTTTGCTATAATCTAAACGATTTGGAAAAGTACAGGTGGTATTTCTTCTTGGAAACGTACAGGTGCTATTTTTTCTGAGCTCGCGCCTTCTTATCATTAAGCATTTGTATGTAGAAACTTTTATCGTTTGCATTTTTATCGTCGCTGGAACCCTTGTCGGATACTTAGAAAAAGTTTCGTAAAAACGTACATTTTCTTCAAAATTTTCACCTGAATTGAAATCAGACAAACTGTCCCCATAACTGTAGGCACAAGTTGAGAAACTTTTTGCAGACATTTTTTATTCATACCCAATCTTCTACTGTTTAATAAATAGAACACATCAAGATACACGCAAACCGACATACTTTTGAGGTTTACAATTTTTAAGAAAATAAGGCTTCGTGGTTGAGACCTTTCCAAATGTACTGTATGCTATCTGTCTGATTAAACCGAAACTAACATCGCTAAATTTCTTGGTTTCTATCGGGACGCGAAACGTTCTTAAGGGTATACCTATAGCATTTCAACATACATATTACTTCAGTTCAGTGTCTCAATTTGAGCCAAACTGTTTTGCGGCGGACTTAATCGAACTATTCTAGCATTCTGAGTTTTATGATTGCAGTCTGCCGCCTATTTTTACCTGTGGATATTTACTTGTAATAACTTTTGATTTTGTTGACAAAACGCTTGATAGTCTTTAGAGGAACAGTTTTTCATTCATTTGCTGTACTTCAATAGTTATTTAGTTTATATATAAAGACCTGTGTTCAGTAAACTTAAAATGAGCGACATTTACTCGAATCTCACTCATTCGAATGAGACGGGTGGGAAGCAATCCAATTAAATCACTCATGTCTTGTGCTGAACAGTTTGGTTGAATATCAAGCTTTTTTACGCAAATTACTGATATTTTCAGGGTCAATTTTCCTATACTTCAAACGTCGAATATGTACTAAATTCAAACTAACAAAGCCTTTAGATCTAATGATTCCTAAAAAGTTGAGTTGATACGTTTAGTATTTAGTCTCTAACCGTGCGTTCAGCTCCTTGAGAAGGACCTCCTTGTAGTATTACTATAAGAATTTAATAGCGCATTTGTTTGCAAATTCTAGATTCATGTAACATTATGTGGTTACGCAGCGAAAAACGCAGTAAAAGAAGAAGATGCTTGAAAAGACCATGGCTGATCAAGGCTCGCAGCGCTGTGATGTTTAAGAACTTCCAGAAGCAGACTCCCCATCTGCCAGACCCCGTGATTAAAGAGGTGCCGCAGGTAAGGAGTAATAAAACCTATAACTCTGCAGCAGATATTAATACAATCGTTTTATAGGTGTCTGAGGAGTGCAAGGAGAATTATCAAGCTCAAGTTGTGCCTGAAATATACAATCAACCAGACGATATTAAAACTGCATCTCCTGAACCTGTTATTGCAGGCGTTGATGATAGCAGTATTGTTGCAGCCAGTAAGTTCTACGAGTTTTACGCCCCAACAAGTAGTGAACCACTTGCAGTCCTTGATGAATCTGATATTGAACGTGTGTTACCAAAGGATATGGAATATAGGTAAATACACAATCTTCTATATCAATTGAAATGCTTTTTTGCAAACTACCTACTTTACTATTGGTAAACGAAAAATCTCAACTACTAATTTTGTTGCAGTTCCATTCAAATAGATGAGACAAAAGTAGTGTTAGATGCAAACACAAACTTCCTACCTTGTCCACCAAATTTATCAGCCGAGGACAGCACTAATAAAATGCAGTTTAATATAACGGAAAAAAAGACCTGCGAGTACCAAAAGTACATATATGCTGAAAAAATGTGCGATTCAATCTACTGTGATTACACACCAGTGAGAACGGATTATCCAGAAGTACCAATTGAAGTCGATTTAAGCAATGTGAACACTCAAGCATTTAATAACTATTTGGACGTGGAAATGGGCAACAATGTTGATATGAGTAAGTTTTGGCTTTCATACGTTCCTAGTTGTAATTTGCTGCTTAATGTTTTTTATTGCTATTTTTTTATTTTTATTTTTGTATTTTGTTCACTTAGATTTACTTAATCAATTAGCTATGGTATATGATTATGGCTACAATTACAATCTGCAAGATGAAAACTGCTTGATAACAAGTGCGGGATCTCAAGAACATGAACGACTAGATGCTCATCCCGAGCAGGTTGAAGTCGTTGAATCGTGGGAAGCTTTCGACCCGTATTTGTTCATCAAGAATCTTCCGCCGCTAACTGCTGAAATGCGATCACAGTGCCCTGCTTTGCCTTTGAAAACTAGATCTAGTCCTGAATTTAGTTTGGTAAGTTAATGATCTTGCACTGCATGGAATGTCAGCCCTAAAACGATTATTTCTGTCAGGTTCTAGATTTAGATGAAACTCTGGTCCATTGCAGCCTGCAGGAGATAAGCGATGCCAGTTTCAATTTTCCCGTGGTATTTCAAGATTGTTCTTATACGGTTTATGTGCGCACTAGACCATTTTTCCGTGAATTTATGGAAAAAGTCTCGCAAATGTTCGAGGTTATCCTATTCACCGCCTCGAAAAGGGTGTATGCTGACAAACTGCTTAATCTGCTTGATGTTGAGAGAAAATGGATTAAATACCGACTATTCCGGGAACACTGTGTCTGCGTCAATGGCAATTACATTAAAGACTTGAGTATTCTGAGAAGAGATTTATCTAAAACCATCATAATTGATAATTCCCCTCAAGCTTTTGGTTATCATGTAAGTAATTTTTTTGGAAATGTTCTTGTCGAACGCGAGACTTATCAGGTTTTTCTGCATTGTTTCAGTTAAATAATGGAATTCCCATTGAAAGTTGGTTTGTGGATCGGACTGATACTGAACTTATGAAAATACTGCCATTTTTGGAAGAACTTGTTGAAATGGTAAGTTATTTAATGTGTGGTTTATCACATAATATGCAACTAAGCATTGCCTCAGCGGTACTTTTACGTCGCAGTTGTCTGTATAAGAGGATTTTCAGATTTTGTATATACATCAACCTTTAATGGCGGATAGACAAAAAAATACCAATTTTTTTAAATAATTTTTATTTGATTTTCCAGAAAGAGGATGTCCGACCACACATTAGAGACAAGTTCAAGCTCTTCAGCTACCTTCCTCCAGATTAAGGAATTATTTTTAGACAATCTGCATTTGAAAGTTCAATTAAACTCAATTTTTACTTAAAAGTACTGACTTTCATACGTTCATATTTTATTTCTGCACGGCGCTAAACGGAAAGTTGCAATAAAAAATCATAATTCACTTAATAAAGGGCATCAAAGTGTTTTGTTCCGATCATTTCTGAGATGTTCCAGGATCTTCGTACTCATCTAATACATATTTTTCTTAACAGCTCACTGATTTGATTATCGACTATAATAAGTAAGTCATCTTGTGCAATACATTTATCTCTATATGTGATTTTGAAGGTTGATAATTTGAGTTAGTGGCTTACCATTGCTTTAAGGGACGTTTAAATCGAAATTAATTCTATTTATTATGGGGATAGCCATGTATATAAATTTATTGAAGCGTTGTTGGTCAGTATTTTGTAAAAGTTTATAATTACTTAGTTTAGAGTTAGTTCACAGAGGTTTAAGTAACATGTTACAACTTTAACAGTGAAGTACCCGCAAATTTAGTACAAAATTGATATAGACTGGGTTAATTTTTTAAGTTTATTTGATATTATTTAGTTTTGTATGACGACGAATATGTTTTTCTTGATAACGAATATAACTGATCTCACACTGATGTACAAACTGTTAAAGCGTGACATGTAAACTCCGATACTTATACTTAAAGTTAATCTACTGTAAATAGGAAACAAACGGTAATGAATATTACACATTTCTTGCCATGACATCTAGTGCGACTTGATGATTAATATTCCAGAGTTTAGGAACGGAACGGATTTGGCAATAAATAGCGACCTAACTGTGATTTGAACTTTCTATGTACATAATATGTGTCGGATGGTAAATTTAAACAAATGTGATTCAACTTAATATTAATCATCGACGAGAGATTATAATAGCAGTTGGTAGACTAGAATGCAATATATTGAGCACAAAACTTTTGTTACTAAAATAGAACATGCATTATATCTCCATGTTATGTGTTTTATATTTTATCGGAAGTTGTGCTAGCAATCTATTGCGGCAACAACTCTTATACGTGTATAGTTTAGTACTGTTAACTGTTTTCCGGCCGGAAAAATTAAGATATTCTTTGGACGTTCTCAATTATTTCCGGTTTGCCGCTGTATTTGTCTTTCACTTGCTTTAGTTATTTATTATTGCTGTTATCACTAACTTTCATAATCACACTCCAAACATCAAAAGTTCATAAATATCAAATACGATGTTAAAATCCTTTCATAATGTTTTCATGGGAACTATTATTTTTAATGTTATGACCTATTTATCATTACCAATCAGGTATTATCCATTGTGATTGTTCACGTTAATTTAGTTTCCTTAGCGGGAAAGTAAACGTTATTAACAACTGAAGCGTTTTAGTATCGACAGTTTTTCAGTCATTTTTTTTGAAATAGAAAAATGTTCCTATTTTTTTCTCATTAAACTTGGTTGTTGTTAACGTTTTCATTAGTTATTTTGCGTTTTTATCGTTTGTACTTATTAATATTCTAGTTTTGTAAGATTGTTTGATGGAAGGTCGGAATGCGATGTTACAACGTTGCTTTTTTGCTGCGACTCTTCCGTTATTTTCCTTCCTAACAGCAGTTAGTTCAATTTAATTAACTGAGTAAGGTGCTGACAGTTTGTTTTCGATTTATATATCCATTTGAATAATTGCACCACTAAGAATTGATGACTTTTAATTTAATTATTATATATACTTTGAGGAAAGTTTGTTGAACTAATACGAGTTTCAAAAAATTTGTGTTATCGTTTTATACCCATTCAAGGATTTCTTACAAGAAATACTTCTATAAAATTCAACAGCTTAATTTAAATTTTTGTCTAAAGCCGAGTAAAATGTTGCTCAACAGTTTATTTTCAATTCAATGTATTTTGAGTAAAATTTGTTTCAATTAATCACCGATGTAAAAATAATAAATGACTTAAACATTTTCGTTTTGATTTACCCAATTTTCCCGTGCTAGAGAACAATTGTGTTTTTAAAAGTGTTATCTATTTTTTTAAAGACAGTTAAGAGACAACATGAAACAATGCGACATAGACACCCCTCTTTGCTTCCTGAATTAGTGTATTACATAATTTGGTAAAGCGGGCAACAGCAGTAACTTTTCCTTTAGTTCGTAGTTTACGTTACGCTAGTGTTTCACTAAAATATAAACAGCGACGGAAATATTTTTCAGTAATTTATTTTGGATAAAGTTGAATTCAACATATTCGTGATGATTTAAACACATATAAGTACCTTTTTTATATGAAATGAACTATATATTATCTAACTCTAATAATACAGGGTCATATCAGCAATCCCGGTAACTCACAGGCGGGTGAAAAGCTGCTATGACCGTTAGCGTATATATTTCGTTAAATAAGATTGCAGCAAGGCCACTTTTGAAACAATACTAAAAGGTATTCAAGTAGAACATAAGTCGTTTCTAACGAAAACGGTCTGTAAGTACAAAAACCTAGCAATTATTGTCCATATATCAATCAGAATATATTACGAAACATCGATGAGTAGCTACGTTGGCCTTTATTTAGAGGCGAAACGAAACTGGGGAACTGGTTTACACTATGGGTTCATTTACAGTTTGTACATTAACGATAAAACGCCTTAAAAATTTGAATGAGGTACATGTAAAAATGTTTTTTTTCTTAAAGCTATACATATAAAATACCTTTATTTTTCGTGTAATTTTACGAAACTACTTACAGGAAACCTTATCGAATAAAGTGGTGGTAGTCCATGTGTGTAAAAACCATAATTACAGTTTTTTCTGCGTAATTTCAGTTTTTACAGCACTCGACTGGTCGACTTACACATTAGCTGACAAAAACATTTTTTTTCTAACGAAACAATTGGACGGTTAACTCATGGTTGTTATATTAACGCTCCACTGATTAAAACTTTTCATAAATAACTCAGTCGATTTGATTTTATCTCTATTAAATAACGAGTCTACACCGGTCGTCCAGAATGTTAGATAACTTTAAAAAGTGTTCTAATCGCCCAGACACTCCGTATACATAAGTTTCAACGATAATTATTGTACATAAAATTAAAGTAAAATTAATTTGCAAAATCAGCATTAACAATTAATATCACAAAACTTAACGTATTTAAAACAAAATACGCTTGAAGCGCATTGTCGAATAAGCATTATCTACATCTCGAACCGTTTGACTTTTTTTGGGGTTTCGATTATAGAATTTACTAATAAAAATATGTTTTATATATTTTCTGTTAACTTTAATTGAAAACGTTCACAGCTATAAAAGTATAACTATTTACACACGCGAATTCTCTTAGAAATTCGGATTTGATGAGATAACACTCTCATTTGTTGAAAAACAAATTTACGCAAAACGAGTGTTTGATTGTGGGAAAAGGGTGAAGAACGCATTTAATTGATGTGAAAGCGACAATGTGACACTAATCATGCTTAACTTCTACCTTTTGCCTTTTTTAATATTTTGTACTATATCTAATAATTGATTTAGCATAATTAGTTTTTTTTGATTTGTCAATTTTTGCAATCAGGAATGTTTTGTTGAAGCAAATAAAAATACACGGTTTCTTTTGTAAAAGTTTAGCAACGAGAAACGTTGGTTTAAGGAAAACAGCGTTTTTTCATGAACCTAATAAAACTACGATTCTCGAGGAAACACTGTTTTTCTTGAGTCAACGTTTCAGCTATAGATTAGTGGTCTTGATGGGTTAAAATATAGTCGAAACGTTGATTCTTGACAAACAGTGGTTTGCTCAAGAATCGTGGGAATTCCAGTTTTAGGAAAAATACAATTTTTCCACAACCAAAGATTTTGTACTTTACTCAAAATTACGGTCTCCAAGATAAAGACTGTGTCTAAAATAAGAAAAAGCGCCCAGATTGCATATAAGAGTGATTTATATAGATAAACTTGGCCAAATGGATAAAAAGCGGTTTTCTCTGTTGATATATTTTGAAGACAAATTGGGCTTCTGTGCCTGCTCGAATTTTTTCTAGGCCAATCTTTATAGCGACTATAAATTAGCTTAAATATTGCGTCATTTTTCTAATTTCATGTTTTCCTACTGGCTATTTATTTTGCTGGATAAATATTGAAATTTATGAAAATTTAGACTAGACATTTTCAAAAAATGTTTTGAATGCAAGAGCAAATGTGGATAATATACGCTCTTTATATATAAAATAAACAATTTAATCAATTAAAATAAAAACTGAAAAAACCTGTATGTAAACCAGTTGCATTTATTTTTTAGTTTAATCTGTTAATATTTTCTACCTTTCAAATGATTTATTAACTGGAATAATTCAAACTCTCTTATTTGCTGCCTTTTAATTTGCACATTAAAAAAAAACACGCAAATTTGCGTTTTTCTGAGATTTTTCTTCTGCGGCTATTCTTTCTGATCTTAGGCACATTTTCAATAAATCGTTGCTAATGAAATTAAGCTTTAAAGAAAAAATTCGTTTAATGTAAATTCTCGTTGCCACAAATTCACTTACATTATCAACTTTTGCTGTGGATTTCCTACGCTCCAAGAATCATCATCGTCTTTATCACAAAGCAAAGCAACATTAAATATGCTTGAAAAAAAGCGTAGAATAAACTTGTGCTCTAACCGCGCATTAAATATGATTGAAAAACACGAAAAATGCCGGCTTTTGAAAAACCCTTGCACTTTCGCTTTAATCACACCCCTATTCGCCATAAAACATTTAAAAATATTACATTTATTTTCATTGTATTGACAAACACATAATTGGATCATCTGAATGAAGTAGAAACCAAAAATTGGAAAAAATGCAAAAAAACAATTTTGTATGCAAAACAAAATTTTTGTTTATTTCTGCCTTCACCAGGATATTTTTTCCAATTGCTGGCAGGTATTTCACCTAGGAGACTCCTTATATAGGTAGATCTATCGGCTAAATGACCTGTACATCGATAGATATAAAGTTTAACAATATACACATTTTAAAACTATATAAAATCAACGTGAAAACTGGGAAAAAGAATCGTCGCACTCATTTTCCCCAATACCTACATAAAACGTTATTACCCTATTAGAGAAATGTACATTAAATCTTCATTTAATCTAGCTTACAAGTATACCAGTTCTTCTTCGGACGAAATATATATTAATTAAGTAGGTCAAAACCTAGTCGCCGTTACTGGTCGAGGGAGGGTTGAGGTTACCGAAGGAGTCCTAGAGCCACTCATCTCCTTGAGCGATGAGAGAGTCTAAAATCCAGAATTTTCCATTAACTCAACCTTCCACCTTTTCACCACCTAACTAAAATCTCATTTAATCAGCCAAATACATACGCTTCCAGTTCCCAGTAAGGGAGTCTCGGAACTTATAGATCCATCCTGGAGCAGATGATCGTCCCTGATTGGTCTAGTCAAATAGGCCGGCATATGAGGATGGTGCAATGTTTGAAACCCTCCTGGATGGGGCATTATTTGCGGTATCCTCTTCATATCCAATTGAGCATACACTGTCGGCTCCTGCCTTCTTATCACGTTCAAAGCCACCGACGGTGGATGTTGATTGTAGATCACATGGGGCGGCATCTGTTGATTGGATATAGACAGTTCAGCGTAGGTTATTTCCCCAGGAGTCTGTAAGAAGTTAGTAGGACCAAATGCTACGTTTTGTTAGTTGGAGATGGGCAATACTTACCACAGCCTTCCCATAGCTCCCATTGGTTTGATTGGGGCTTTGCAATCGACTGTAGACTCGCATAGAGGGAGCGTTGTTCAACCTTTCAAAGGCCCGTTCTTCGTCTTGGTACTCATCCTCTGCATTGTTCTGGGGAATGATGTCCGGGTTTTTTTCCTCCAAGCTATCCACACTGTCGTTCATGTCTTTGTTCAGTGGCTCAGTGCTCGCCTAAATAATTCATTAATCGGGTGAGTATTGGGGTAAATTCGGGTCATTATTCTAGAGCGGCATGTTAGGGAGTTCAGATAGATTCAAACAGTTCAGAAACAAGTTTTTTTTTCATTGATATTGCACCAGTTGTTAGTGGCGAAATCAGAAATTATGACTTTTTTGGTAAGCATCATCCTCTTCATATTCCAGAAGCTCGAAATAATCCTATGATTGGAATAAGACATTTTTTCAGTTACATTGCTCAGAATTCGAATTTTCGAGAATCCTGATTATCTCTGTAAATTTCCAATAAATCATGATTATTTGTCTGCTGTGTTAATAGATGTGGATACGTTCTTTTGTTAGTCTCAGTGGAGCCATTGCGACTATTAGGAATTTTTTTTTATCGAAATTATATACATTTTTCATATAGGCAAATCCGCTGTAAACACTCGCATCTTTCAAAAATTCTTAACGCCGAACCCAGCAAAAAGTTTTCTTGCGTTTTTTTTCTCGAAGTAGTTTAAATTTTTCATTTAGAGAAAACCTCTGGAAAACACGCTCGCTGTTAAAAAAGATCATAATCGAACATAAACGAACCCGGCCCTGTTCAATGAAGACACTAAAACCCTAAGAGGAGAAAAATCGCACACTCAGTTGCATTTTGTCTCAAAGTTTTGTTATTTTTTTATTTAGACCAATCCGCTGAAATCTTTCGCTATTTGAAAAATTTACAACTCTAAATCCAAGCAAGCTTCAAAAACGTACTCTATACTGTTTTATATAAGAGTTATATAAGTTGCTATATATATATAGCAACTAAGGCTTTATTAGGGGAAAATGTCGAGATCACTCACGAGTTTATTCAAAATTTATGAATTTTCTATTTAGATAAGACCGCTGAAAATATTCGGTCTTTAAAAAATGCATAACTTGAAACCCAAGTATGCTTCAGAATGCGAATTTTTCGTTTAAAACATTCATAACTCCAATAACAAGCAAGCAACATAAACGTACTCTGCACTGTTCCATAGAGACACTCAAACTCTACGAGGAGACAAATTTAGCACTCTGCAATTTTGTCTCGAAGTTTTGTTAATTTTTGGTTGAGACAAATCCGCTGAAAACACACACGTCTTAAAAAATCGTTCGTCCAAAGCCAAGCGACTTACAGAAAATCACTCAGATATAATCTAATCTAAATACTAAATAATAATAAAATCTAAAATACAGAATATGGTATTTTAGAGCAACTGAAGCTTTATTAGGAAAAAAATAAAAAATAAAGCTCACTTGTAAGTTTTCTGCAAATTTAAGAAATCTTCAATTGGGCAAAACCGCTAAAAACAAATGACCTTTAAAAATCTACAACTTAAAAGCAAAGAAATCTACAGAAACGAGCTCAATACTATTGAAAAGAGCATCTAAGGTTCTAGGAGAAAAATTGCACGCTTTCTTGCGTTTTGTCTTAAAGTTTTGTGAATTTTTCATTTTGGGAAAATCACTAAAGTTTAAAAAATGTATAACTCCGAAGACAAACAAGCAACATAAACGAACTCTGCACGGCTCGATCAAGACACTAAAACTCTATTAGGAGAAAAAACACACACTAAATTGCATTCTGTCTCAGTTTTGTTAGTTTTCCATTCAGGCAAATCCCCTGAATAGACTCACATCTTTAAATAATTCATAACTCCAAATTGAAGTCAGTGGCAGAAACACAGTGTACACTATTCAAAAGAGCAACTTAAGTTCGATTAGGAGAAAAATTGCTCGTTTTCTTGCTTTTTTAATCGAAGTACTGTGAATTTTTCGTGTAGAGCCACTCAAAACGATCGCAGTTTAAAAATTCATTACTGCGAACACAAGCAAGAAACATAAACGCACTCTGCATTGTTTAATACAGACACTAAAACTCTATTTGGAGAAAAATCGAAGATTTAGTTGCGTTTTATCTCAAAGTTTTGTTCATTTTTTTATCTAGACAAATCCGCTGAAAACACTCACGTCTTTCAAAAATTCTCAATTCCAAACCCAAGCGAGCTACCGAAACCCACTCTATACCGACTTTTAGAACAACTATAGCTTTATTATTCGAAAAATTCCAAACCCACTAACGAGTCCAATTAGATAATATACCGCTGAAAACGCTCAGCTTTTTAAAAAATTATAATTTGAACTTGAAAGCTGGAGAAACGCATTCTACACTATTCAAAAGAGCTACTAAGGATCCATTAAGAGAAAAATTGCACGTTTTCTTGTGTGTTTTCTCGGCGCCCTCGAAGAGAACGCTCGCAGCTTAAAACATTCATAACTCGGAACACAAGCAAGCAACGTAAACGCACTTTACACTGTCCATAGAAACACTGAAACTTGAACAATCAGTTGCATTTTGTCTCGAGATTTTATTAATTTTTAATTTAGATAAATCCGCTGAAAACACACACGTATTTAAAAAATGTATATCTCCAATCTCAAGCAATCCACATAAACACACTCTAGACTATTCAGAAGAGCAACTTGATTCTATTAGGGCAAAATTTTCACGAGTTTTTCTACAAGCAACTAAAGTTTTACGATTTTTTTCAATTAGAAAAAATCACTTGCTATTTAAAAATTAGCTCCGTCAGTTAAGGCTCTATTAGCAGTACAAATTTTTGAAATTCGACATTTGTTAATTAAAAGTTAAAATCCACTGGTAGACTTTAAGTATTTTTGAGGCATTTAGAGACTGAAACTTTGAGAAACACGTAAATTTTCCAAGGAATTTAAAGCAAAGTTTCCTAATTTTGAATTGAACCGTAGAGCTATTTTCAAATAAAACTTTGTAACCTAAGTCTCCTCCTCCTCCGGTTGACATCTTATATCTATTTTTTTACAAACTTCTTTTTGGGTATTTTGCCTCAAAAATTTTTGTCTTTAAAAAAGACAGAATTTCCTCACGTCTTTTATTTCAGATTGATAAATAGTGCTCCTATTTCGCAATAAGAACGAATTATTTATCAAAAAGTAATCAAGAACTATCACCTAGAGGGTAACCTGCGACACA